TTTTCTTCGCTGTTTTAGATCTTGTTTTAAATTTATATGTTACTGATTGTACACAAGATAATAATCGATCAATTTCTTTCGTTATTCTTGAAGCAATCAAGGCAGGTATTACATCACTTGGAAATTTATCTGTTGGTTATTATATATCGCATCGAGGTTTTATTGATTTATATTATTATGCAATTCTATTACAATTTCTGTCAATATTAATTGCTGTTCTATTTTTTAAACATTCTTCGTCTTTGTCAATAAGAAGATCGTCATTACCCATAGAAATTTATTCTGATATTCAAATTGGAAATTCTTGTTGTTCAAAAATGAAATTTCCGAAAAAAAACTTGACAATTATTTTATTAATTTTATTTTCTTATCTTTTTTCTTTATTATCAAATTCAGCATTATGGTCAAATTTTCTATGGTATTTATTAAATAAACCATTTAATTGGTCATCAGTACAAATTGGAACTTACAATTCTTTACGTTCAATTCTAACTGCAATATTTAGTATTATTGGAATGAAATTTTTTGTCTATATGTCGGCTAATGATTCAATTATTTGTTCATTTAGTCATATTTCTTTCATTTTCTTATCTATATGGTTGATTTTTGCAAAACAAAATTGGCATTTGTATATAACATTATTAATAATTCCCTTTCTTGATTATCAAAATTCGTTAACATGGTCAATGATAACAAAATTTGTCACATCCAATGAATGTCATTTAATCTTTACGATTCTTACAATGATAGAAACTATTTGTACAAGATTAGGAGATGGATTTTTTAATTGGATTTATGAATTGACTATTAATCATTTATCATATTTTATTTTTATTATTTCTGCTGGACTTTCAATGATTCCGTTAATACTGAATATGTAATGAAATATATTTATCTATTAGTAATAATAATAGTCATGTTTTTTATTTCTTTATTTTAGACATCTTTTCATAATCAATCGACGATCATCATCATCAATAAATATCAATGATCATGAAAGAGATGATAGTGACTTAATTAATTGCGAAATGTCGGTAGAATTGGAACAAAATCAAGGTGATTTAATTAGTTTTCAATAGAATAATTACAAAAATTAAAAATTTTGAGTGTATAAATAACGAAGGATGTTCTATGTTTTGTTTCTCTGATATACTAACTAAAAGTTCGTGACCTGGAAATGTATCGAAGTGTCAGCGCATTATATTCTATTTTATCAACAAAATATGTTAAAAGGAAAATCATACGTTATTGTTCTCAATTTTTATACTTAAAAATATACGACATGATCGTCTTATGTTGCATTCCTCGACATATCCACAAAACATGAATATTTGAAAAAAATTAGACTTGACACAACTTTTAATCATTCATATAAAATAAGAGCGATATTATCGATGCTTCCATTATTATGAGAGGTAGATGTGCTTTAGCTATCTGAATGAAAATTTGCAAAAAAACGTGTAATAATTGGTATAGTTTCATTTGCTTGTCAAAAAGAAAAGTAATGAGCTTATACAGCTCGACGATGTTAAGATCCTGTTCAGAAATTTTGAATATGCATGAAAGCTGTCATATAAACGTTTTGAAAATCAGTAATTTTAAAACTATATTTCAACTAATAAATCCAAATAGTTTCCATATACGATACTACACCAAACTTTTCTCTATCCAGCTATATATTTTTTATGGAGTGTACGTAATTGCTTTTCTAACCAACTCGAAAAACGTGCCAAGATGTGACTGCGAGGCTTCTTCTTATATATATTTTATGCATTTTTCTTCAAACTAGGCTCAGTCTGTTGACCGTTTACATTTTTTTATCTTAATGTAAAGCGTAAGCACAATAAAGCCTTGATTCATCTATTGATTTAAATGCTTTTCATTAGCTTTTCATTCTGTCTTTTGCTTGGGCCTGCACAGAAACATTGAAAAGGTCAATATCTCAAAGGTACAAAAATCGGCGAAATCTTACCGAAAAACAATAATTTCCTCGTGAATGGTGGGTCGTTCTCGTTTGATATGTTTCGTATAAAAAGTCATCATGTGTTTTTTTCATTTACAGCCATTTTTACGATCCATATGTTCTCAACTGACGTGAATTATGAATGTGCAAAAGCTCAACATTAGAACTTCTCAGATACGACTAAGTTTTGAAACACGTTGAGAAATAAACAAAATGAAAACTACACGAAGCTTTGTCTAAGCACAGTAATCCAAGAAAACCGTCCAAAATCAACGTCACCATGCTGTATTATTGTTGTAGCTCTTCTCACACTATCACCCTCATATGTGTGACACAAACGGCGTCGGTACCGTTTGCACTTAGGCAACCGGTTCCTAACTACGCAGCTTAGTTTTTTTTCGATTCCCTCTAATATGCTTGCACAGTGTATCTTCAAAATTGTTCTTGCGGTCGACTCAATATTTAGGAAAAATGCTGAGACAAATGGGATAAAAGAGCTTGATTAAAGTGAGATGGAAAAGAGTATTTTGGGACTGTTGTTGCCAACCGCGACGATCAGTATTGATCCCATTCGTTGATGAATTCAGTCTTCTCGATGAGTCCATCGTGATCAAGATCGGTTGCATTAAAGTGAATCTCTTTGTAGTATTGATTCATAGGAGCAGTTAAATATCGAGCATATTCATCGAGGTCGAGAGCACCGTTTTGATTTTGATCCATCACACGAAAAACGTCATCAGGAGACATTGGTAGATCACGTTTTCGGCGATCTGGGCAGCATCCTTTCTTGCAACCGCAGCAGTCTACCCTACAAGGACCGCAGCCTTGGCAACCCCAAGGTATGGTCCATTTTAAAGCCGTCCTTGTTCGTTGAGGACAGCACTTGCTCCAAAGGAAGCCATGCGCCATTGAGATTAGAGCAATGGAACATAAGAGAAACAACAATGTAAATCTTTTAGTCATTTCACGTTTATTGTGATAGCCGTAATCGTGAAGTCGATAAAGTCAATTGCGAAAATAGATCCCTATATATATGTAGCAATGATCATCGTTTTGGGATTTCCCCATTAATAAAAATCTCGGGTCTCACGAAACACCAAGATAGTAGATAAAGAAAAGAAACGATTATTATGGATTAAATTCGAGAGAAAACGATACTCTTTTTATCCGTTCTTTCGTGCCGCGTGGAACATATTAACCCCTTAACAACTGTTAAGTTTTTTCGCTAACTAAAAATCGTTTTTTTCATAAATTTTACAGATTTATAGTTATTTAACTAATGAACCTTTCATTCATATATATATATTTTTTTGTATATATAAGATAGATGTTACTTTTAAATAAGATATAGAAAAATAATTCTTGTTGTACTTTTTTTCAAAGTCAAACGTTTTGTTTAAAAATTTAGTACGGTATGATAAATTCGAAAACATGGATCAATGCAAAGACCAACATTGCAAATTGAACATTCATATGTTGTTCCATGTCGTCTTCGATTACTTTGAGTTGTTGTATGACTGCAAACAAAACATCGTCTTCGTGAATGTTGTGTGGTCGAGCTAGAGGGAATTGTTGACGGAAAATGACGTCCAACTAAACGCACACGTGTAGGTTCAAGTGCTGTTCAACGTAATCTAATTGCTTGACTTGGAAGACCATGCAATTGCTTTCCAATAAAGAATAAGCAAGTGCTATAAGAAATTGAAGTTGTGTCATTATGTTATGATTCGTTTGATGAGTCTGTATTTTATATAAGTGATAAGAGTTCAGAGTAGCTAAATCTAATAAAATCATAAATATCTTTTTGTAATATTTTTTCAAGAGTTTTCGAGGAACACAGTAAGGTGCTAATTGTTGGTCGGCCAGATCAACCCCACCCATAGTGACATTGTAGTCGTGAACGCATACAGGTACTTCAATTTGTTTATTTCTTTTATGAACAGTCGTGACATCATCATTATGGTAAGTAGGCAACATTGTAACAAATTTCTTATCTAACCATTTCACTGCCGTTAATTTTTTGTAATACCGAACAATTTGCTCATTCTTATGAACCTTGATACGTTTGAAATCAATTGGAAGACCTATACAATTGGAACGAACTGTTCCAGCCGCATCTATCTTTTGTTTGATTAGTTGAAGAAAGAGTTTTGGTGAGGAATAATAGTTGTCCATAAAAATACAATGTCCTAAATCTAGGTAATCTTCTACTAATGTCAAGACGACTCGACTTGATAAGGATAAATCAGAAAAATTCTCTTTATAATTAGTATCAGCACCAGTGTAAATTATAAAATCAAGAATGTAACCATTTGTATCACATAACATATAAAACCTGAATCCAAATCTTGCTCTTTTGGTGGGAATAACCTGTTTCCACGATAAACGACCCTTGTACAAATGTAGACTTTCATCAACACATAATAATCTTCCAGGTTTATGTAATTTTTTAAACGATGAACGAAGACATTCGATAACTGGCCAGATCTTTTTCAATTTGGTATCCGGACCTTCATTCGTTTCAAAATGCAGCATTCTAAGTAATAATAAAAATCGATCAGCAGTCATTATTCGCTTAAATATAGGAGTTGATAATAGTTCATCAGTTGTAAAATACATTTGAAGTTCTGGTTTACGAATTATTCCTTGCAATATCAGTATACCAAGAAATACATTGAATTCTTTGGTATTTGTTGACTGCCATTTGTTGATACGTGAATACCATTGACGAGGTTTTGAAGTATTGCCTATAATTTCAGCGTATCGATTTGTTTCATAAACAATTTGTTTTACTAGATTTTCAGAAAAAATATAACTCCAAAATTCAATGGGAGTCTGAGCTCCATATGCTTGTCCTTCACGATTACTAGAAATCTGGAAAGGATCTCTCTTGAACTGTGGAAAAATTGTCCATCGACCAATATCAAATTCATTAGTGATATCACTATCACTGTTAGTAGTATCATCAGTGTGAAGTTAGCACGAACAAACGATATGTTAGGTTAAAACTTTTTTACTAAATATGTCCTGTCCATGAAAATTACACCAGTCGGTGCAAAATTAAATACTGAATCGAATGATGTAGTTTTCATGGACGGGACATATTTAGTAAAAAAGTTTTAACCTAACGTATCGTTTGTCCGTGCTAGCTTCACACCGATCATTGTTACGCAATTTTACATGCCGATGTCTCCACGGAAATTATTTTGATCGATATTGCGAACATAAAACACGCAAAATTATTGTTTTACCAATATTTTCAGTCACCATTTCTTCGATTGCAATTTTGATTATTGTAGGCACTGCAGTACTGATTATTGTCATGGATATTTTAAAATATTTTCTTAATATTAATCCTGCTGATTCAATACGTAAAGAACTTCAAGAGAAGAAGGGGAAATTATTAACTGTTGTACGATTTACATATGTCGATAGTTCTTCTGTGATGCAAGAAACGTATTTCTAAGACATTTTCAAACTCTTCGTTACAGTAAATAAAAAGAATATTTGAACAACTTCAATTATTTATTGTCACTTGAATAGTTCTGTAGTAGAGAAGAAATCAGACAGGCTCAACGTTCATCTGAACTGAATTGTACTTTTATACACAAGCAAGAAAATCATTCTAATGAGAATAGTTCTATTGGTTTCCATTATACGCCTCTGCGATCGCTTTCCACACACGTTCAGTGGCACCTTTCGCAATCACCTGTCGCTTTTCTGCTTCGTTCATCTCTTGACAAAATAATTTTTTGAATTTTGGTAGCACATGCGATCGATACCGTGTAACTTTGCAAATCACGTTCAATAGCTTCTCAGCACCTCCTTCGGTATTATCCTCCAGAGACTCTACTGACTTCTGACACATGAAATCATGAAACTCATTGGATGCGGCACTATAATTTAGCATTCTCATTTTCCAATAGCGAAAAGGTTTGCGCTTGTTCTGATAGTACCAAAGATCCCACTGGTCCCGACTTACAGGAACACGAATAAGTCTCTTTTGTATGTCATATAACCCATAGCCAGATGCATCGATAAATATATCTTGTACAGGATCGAAAGCTACCGAGTTGCAAGTAAAGTCCATTGTGATCAAGTTGTCTACAAGATCGTTGGAAATAATGTGAGTTTTGATTCTGTTCTCGGTCAGCTCAGGAGTCCATCTCACACTAAACGATTGTATCGGATTGCCTTCCATCACGAACTTTCCAGTACCCCATTGCGTTTTAATACCTGCTACTATTTCGATGGGCCCGAATCCGACCGCTTCAGCAATATCTTTCATAACTTTAGGGTGCTGTCCATAGGTAACATCGACGTCATTGATTCCCTTGAAGTCTTCCGTGAGCGCGTGACGAACGGCTCCTCCAATAAAAAACATCGCTACGCCGTACAATCTGTATGTCGAAAAAACAGAAAGAAATGTTGTTTTCACTCCTCTCTTATTCGCTGTAAGACCTTCGATGTTTTCTTCCAAAATTTCCACGAGGGGTTCGGAGAGATGCGGAGCGCTGAAGCAAATGCCTTGTCCTTTCCATGGGAGAGCAATTGGAATCCTGTCATCTGGGAATACTTGATCTTTTTCAACAAAAACAACTTCTTCTCTAATCGTCTGTACTTCATTGTCGTCATCATCATCAGAAACAAGATCCACACGTTCAGGAAATACGGCTATCTTTCCATCTTCGCCTTTACCAACGATTCTACCTCTACGCTTCTCAGCTTCTGGCAGTCTATATTCACATGGATGACCAGGTGACTCGTAGAATTCAATGAGGGGATTGCTCAGAATTGGTTCAACCATTTCTATCGCTCCTGCTTTCGCTATAGCTTCAGATGCAGCCATGCTCCAGTCAGTAATGTCATGGTCTTCTAGGACAGCAATTCGCTTTAGATGTACTGCCAATTCTGGGTAGATCTGTGTAGCATCGTAGATGCAGAAAACATGCCCACCCATCGCCAACGTAAACGTGGATTGCGCACCATGAGGAGCACACCGCAGTTCTTCAGTTCCCACAACGCAGTTTCCGAACACTGCTCTGGCTGCGATAATCTTGCACTGAGTTTTTTCTTCGTCGGTCCAAGTAATCTTGTTCGTCTGTACCGGATATACGATGGCGCTGCTTAGGTAGATACCTTTTCCACAAGGACCTCCATTACTTAACGTAGGATCAAAGTTTCGCTGAAGAATTGCATCGAGATTAGCAATTGAAGAACACCCGTGGAATCCATAAGCTTCGTGAATCTGAATACCTTGATCTGTCATCGCCTTTCGCTTTGCTGCGTAGGATGCCCATAATCTTTCATTGACGTTTCGTTCGACGCGGACGATCTGAAACTGCTCACTCAAGTGCCGCAGAGATCGATGAATCATCGGACGTAGCTGGTCCAATTCAGGACTTTTAATAACATAGAGAGCATCATGTAAATGAAATGGCAATGGCATTACCAAACGTGATGCTTGTCTCTCTTTCCATTCCAACACACGGCTCTTCATGTTCTGATTGGGGAGAAATCGCTGTCCAAGAGGTAGATTCGTCATAGGACTCTTGCCGCCATCTCGAAGCCACTGCTCAATAGCCTGTCGTTCGTATGTAAAACCGTCCTCGCACACTACTGGGTCTTGAAAGAGCGATAGCGTAATTGGGCACAATAGTTCTTCGGGTGGATCAACATGAGCATCGGAAGGTTGCATTAACGTGGAGAACATTCTTTTTCTAAAATAAATGTTGAAATATGTATAATATCATACTCTATGACAAATTTATCAACGAATAAAAATAATGCATAAGACTTTTCATCTTAATATACCATAGAGATAACGGCGAAAGAGATCTCTTATACTTTATCTTTATTGGATCATAAATTTGATGGAAAACATCACAGTATAGAAAACAATGTTATTGCAGTTGTTGATGTCAATCAACTGGGAATAAATACAGCTGTGTATAAAGATACAGAATCACACCGTGGTTAATTACAAAGACATTTTCATTCGGTCTTTTTCACAAAATAAAAATTGCGAAAAAGAAATGCAGAACGCAAAGCGAACAAAGATTAAATGCATGCGCTACCGAGGACGAAGAAGAAACAATAGAAAATATTAGTCATTATATTGACATTGAAGTTACGAAAGTCTCTTTTTCTTTGCAATATTTATCATTTGTATGAAAATACACGGGATAGATAATTCAAGCGCATGTATGTGTGAATATAAATATATCAATTAATCCTTACGTAGCAATATTCTTAATTCCCATGTAAAATAGCAAAGTTTAATAGAGAAAGAAAAGAAAAGAAATCTTTATTTGATTATATACTGCAGAGATATTAAATGTAATGATTAACATTGTAGATCACATATAAAAGAAGAAAATAATCAAATTATCACACTCGTGTCATATTTATTTTTATCCTCACCAGTTTTTGTTTCGTTTTTCATATGAATTATTTTATTTCAGAGTGAATTTTTACGATAAGGATGACGATTTAGTTAAGAACATTCAAAATTTCTTTAATTCTCCTATTTCTATTAATTGTATGTTTAATCCAAGCCGGTTTGAAGTATCTCGGAAAAAGTATAATCAATTTTTGTTTTATCAGTCGAACAGAATAGAATTGCAGTATATTTATTTAGTTTCGACAGAAACGAAAAATAAACATTTACTCTTGAGATCCAAAAGTAAATATTTCATAGAATTGTAAATCAAACTTTGATGATATTTTAAACATTTTTGTGAAATAACAATGAATTGAATTCAGTTTCGTAATTTGTGAAGTCAACAATACTTCCTGAAAAATGCCGAATGTAGAAGTGAATAATACACTGCTGGTCATGAAAATAGAACGAAATGTAAATGAATTATTTTGTTTCATAGAATTCTCGATGATGACAGTGAAAGTTTGAGTCTATATTTACTCTCATATCTTCAGTTAGATCTCTTTTCACGCTCAGCATCAACAAATGAATAATATTTTCCTTTTTACATATTTTTTTCCGATAAAATCTACGTAAAATAGTAAAAGTAATCGAAACACAGAACAGAGAAATCGAGAAGAAGCTAAAAATAATCTATAAAATGAGCAATTTTAGTGAGGTTTTAATCGAAAATCAGCAAAGAAGAATGAAGTCTATAATTGAGGATTAAATGGTACATATTTCTTTAGTGAAATAATATTGTTTCAAACACATATACTTTCACTGATTATAAAACGAGGAAAATGATTTTGATCAGTTTCATTTGTGTTATATTCAAAATTGTAACTAATCAAGAATTGCTCTCCTGTTTTTAAAGTGATTGGTTATTTACCAAGTTCAGTAGATGGTGCATCCATCAGAGACATTTCTATTATCCATAGCTGTCGCATTTCATCATTATTAAATGTATTATTTTCACAATCATGTATTTCAAAGTTTCTTTGTAATAATCCGCAAAATACGATATTAGCTATATGTAGTTTTAGCCCGAATATGAAGAACATCTTTTAGATTTGGGAGTTATTAAGAAAAAAAGAGGATATTTACCTCCGAGCTTCATTACAACTGTTGTTGTATCCAATGTTTGTGTCTCTGCATTGTAACGAAAAATAGAACTTAATTTTTGTCTAGATTATAGTATATACATCCAATTTGCCGTTCTTTATTGTTTACATTTCATTGATTGATGCATTTGAAAGCGTCGTGATGTCAATTAATGGAACTCATGAAAGGAGAATTTGCAATTTAATGAAATCATTTCGAATCATCATATTCACAGAAAAAAATCCTTTTGCATCATTGTAAATTTCAAGAAAATTACCAAATATAGAATTGAAAACCATGCGATAAAATAGGAAATAATGACGAAGAAAAAATGTACTGTATGAACATAGTAAAGTTCATTAGGATCAAATTTGTAATTATATTCTTATTGAATGACAAAAAGTCATGTCTGACAAGGCATGTAAAAGATTTCATTGTTAATTTAACTCTCATAAAGACTTGAAAGACTAATGGTTGATTCTTTTATACGGTTGAATAAACGGAACATTTTAACGTTAATTTTAAATCAATCTAAATATATCTTCTTTTGTATTTAAAAATCTTTTTTTTCAAAAGATTCATTATAAGATTTCTAGTTTGATATTTTTAAGAATTTGAATTCAAAGATAAAAGTGTTCTTCTTTTATGGTTTTGTAAATATTTCAGAATTGACTTCATAGAATTGATATTCTAAAGTAAATCTTCTGTTTTTGTTATGAAAAACTCAAGCAAGAAGAGATGAAGAGATAAATGCGTTTTTTAAGTTCGCAGCACGTCAAACGAAGAAAATTGCAGGTGAAATTATTCTAGAGAATGTATTTTCAGTTAGATGACATTTGTATTATCTGTGACAAAAGATCTTCGATGTTTATTTTTAGTTATTTCAGAGATGAAAAATGTGTGTCAAATACTTTCGTAAAGAACAAATACGTTTAAGACAATAAATTATTTTTATAGATAATTTTCTATTAATCAAAAATATTTACTAAAGTTCATCTCGCACTTAAAGTTTCAATTGAAATCAAATGCGATCTGAGCTACTTGCAACTTTAACATCAATTCAACCAAAAATATATCGATATGGAATGGTTCCATTCATACCAATTGGTAATATTATAAATTTAGTAATCTTTCTTCAAGTAAATCTCCGTACAAATCCTTGTTCAATATATTTTATTGCTTATTCAATTACAAATCTATGTTGGACTAGTTTTAATACGGTGACAAGTACATTGAATTATGGTTTTTCTATTGATATTTCAACATGGCCAGAATCAAATTGCAAAATTCGAACATTTTTCACTTATATTTTTGCTGATTTATCTCCTATTTTTTTTAACATTGGCCACTCTCGATCGTACTTTTATTACTTCAAAAGATCCAACTATCCGACATTTGAGTAGTGTTAAAATGGCACTTTGTTCAATTGGTTCCGTTGTTTGTCTATGGATAATTTTAATGATACCTGGTGGTATTTATTCTGATATTCAATATTCACCAACAAGAAACGTATGTACTGCAATCACAAGCAATTGATATGGACAATCGTTTCAAATCATCTATGCCGTGAATGATGGATTAGTATAATATCTATAATTCTCTTAATTCTTGTGTGAGTTGTTTCTCATCTTTAGAAGAATCAGTTAAAGGGAAAATACCTTGAAGATCTTATTGTGTTATTCTCATCTCGTTTAGTCGATGATCGATATTTGAGGAGGATGTGAATTAGACTAGGATCCTTGACAAACTACAAGACAATTCATATTAAACTTCGTTTTCTTTTCTTGATCTTTTCAGTTTAATAAATTTTACGAATGCACATCGTCTCAGACGACAAATATTTCAAATTGAAGAACTTACGATTTATTGTCCAAATTACAAAGAACAACAACTCGTCACTATGCTTCTTTCACAAGTTCTGTTCACAGCTGTCTCTTAATTTTTTTTTCCAATCTATTTAATATATGGTGTAATCAGACGATCAGTATCGAAAACATCTACGCAACATAGACAATGGAATTATTTGCCTATGCGACGGCAGTTTACATTTGCGATTGGCCAATTGGTTTTAATTTTTATCTGAATTTAATAACTACAACAACATTTAGAAATGAATTTGTACGAGTATTTAAAAAGATTATCCATTTGGGTAGATGTGATCGGGAATAATAATGAACTTTGATTATTATTTCTAAAAATATTGAGAGTGTTTTGCAAGAAACTAATCCAAATAAGATCAGAGAATTATAAAAGGCAACTGGTTTTATCGTATTCTAGAACAAAGTCTAACTTCGACGTAATTATCCGAATATATAATATTCTTTCTTTTGAACTCTTAGTTACATATCTCATTAGGTATCACTTATATCACTTGTCATATTAATGCAAAGTTTCTTTGAGGATTAGTATCTAGATTATGCTGATTTGTAAAATTTATTATTTTTTGTTGAAAATAAGGATGAAGAATAATAGAAATTTTTATTTAGAGACGAACGATACATATTTTGCGAAATGTGAATCTCTGAAAATCAAATAAAATATTAGATTTTTGTCAAAGGGATATTGAGCATCTTCAAAAAAACCTTCGTTTTGAAACCCAAGATTCGATTTGATGAAACATCAACACTCTAGATTCACAAAACAGTAAGAAGCAGTGACAGGGAGCATCAAGTAATGAATCAATACAAGATGAAGAAGACAAAAAGGAAGAAGAAAGATGGCGGAGACGATGCACCACTAGACAATATGAATATTTTGTCATCCGACGAGGAATTTGATGAAAACAGCATTTCAAAATATATGACATCGTTCAGCGTAATCGAAAGGACTGATATATTGAGAATTTGTCGAAAAATCGTGAATACCATTAACAAATCGAATATTCTTTACGAATTGACTTTGCAAATCCATAAATCAAAGATAGTTTATCTATTGACATGCGCATACGATGAAATAGTACTTATACGATGTTATCGAAATTGAGCAAATATCAACCGATAGTAGTTTATATTGTTATAAAATCACTCATAAACTGTTTTACAGTTCAAGGAAACAATCATGCTGAACGAATCATTAAAGAGGAATTAACAAAGTCATTCCATAAATATATTTATGAAAAAGAGAAAGGCTCCTTTCATTTTCAGAAAATAATGTTTAATAATGATTCTTTGAATCAATGAAACTGTTCTGAACATATGCTTACTGCATCAGTCTCAAACATATCTCTCTATCTCATATAGAAATGTGGATTAATCATCGTAGACTCTTTATCCACATGACATATTTCACATTGGACTTTAGTTCAAGCAACTGAGACATACTTCAAGATGATTTCCCATTTAGAACCCAATTATATTATCTTTTTTTGTTCATATCTACTCTAAGTAAAAATATACGAAAAAATCGAATTCTAATTGCGATCGATTTTCTATCACTCCAAAAACATCTATTTCTACCGACTTTTAATGCAATCTGAGTTCATTCAATTCGTACGAAAAAGTGAGTGATGTCATAATCTCACCCTCACCCGGTATTCATCCAAAAACAACCAATTCGCCATGTTAATCTATCTATGGAGTTGTTTTCGTGTATTATCCTGTAAAGCTGACGAATATGGACGGATCTCATTCAGGCAAGCCGTGCGTTAGTATATCGTATATTGTATTGTCTTGTAAAATGCTCAGATCGATGTGAATGTTTATGCGATTCAGAATCACCAAAACGGGGAAATAGTTGTGATCGACAGTTGTTGGAGATAGCAGTGTGTCGGGCAACCTTCACTCATGAAAATGTTTGAACAAGAAGGAATATTCAATGACTATCTATGGACTAATGACAGATTCAGATGAAATGGAAGATGATATTCTCTCTCTCTCTCTCTCTCTCTATTGGAGAAAATGAAGAAAGAGAATATCCAATTGAAACCTACATTGATCGTGCAATAAAAATATGTGAAAAGGATTGTGTTCAATTATGGTGAAATGTTATCTGATGATTGGTCAATCGTATTGCCACCTTGTATGAAAGAGCGAAAATAACACAAACAGCATTTAGTGTGTCACACAACAAACCATAGAGATTTTCGGAAAATTGATCTACAATCAGAACGATGTTCGAGCAAAGAAAACGTTAAACTACATCTATTAGAAACGGACGGAGTTTATGAGAGTACTGCTTATTTCCTAGATTAATTCAAATGTTCTCAAATGATTGAGTTTCGAAGAATTGGATGTGTCAATGATGTTGAGAAATACAAATATATTAAACAGCGTCTGAGAGTTTTCAAAATGACTCACCTATAAGACAAACAATAGGAGCTTTACTTGATAATGGAAATGATAGTGCTGGATTCTGAATTGTGTGATATTTTGTTCGATCAGATGCTTGAAGTGTCCAAAAAAGAATCTGATTTAGAAGAGAATAACACATCATTGGATGTTCATTCCGTTATTTCGTTCTCTTGAATTTCGTACCCATTGATATCTCATCCATAATCAATTGTTCGAGAGTCTTCTCTATATCGTCAACTTCAAATTGAAATTAAAACTGTTCAAAGAGCATAACCATGTTGCATGGTCATTGTGGTTCATTGGTTTGATATTTCAGAAAATGAACGATTATAATTTGTCTCTTGGATATTTCAGTCGAACTTGGAATATGATTGAGGTTTTACACTGCAATGAGCATCTCACAAACAAAACAAGTGGTCAATGCTTCAAATGTATCTCGAAGCGAAACTTCATTCGAGAGTCCATCTATTAAATACAGTACACATCAATCCATCCCACAGTTACTGCAAATATCTTTTCACATTGACTAATCATCAATTGTTTGACGGAGGCATTTATTCAAAAAAGAACTGAAATTTCAAGTTTTGTAAAGAAAGTCTGTTTTTAGGTGTGGAATCAGAATTAAAGGTCTGTTGTTGTAGAAGAAATCTTGACGAATGATTTAAGCAAGAAGGATAATATAAATATACATGTTTTACTTCCACCATATGGACAGTGGAATAAGATGAGCATAGTGATTCTCATCGAAAACTGTCATACTTCGTTGTACAGCTGTCATCAGTATTCTGGATTTACCTCGCAAAATCAGTTGTTTGAGTAATAGGAACTGGGCGTGTCAAATAAATCAACAATAGCCTGAAATGAAACATCGAAAGCGAGAAATTTATTTGGATACTTTCCCCTGAATAAACGAAACGGCTTTGACAGAACCAGCAAAATCTACACGATAGAGTGAAAACAGCGATGTGGCAAATAAAAATATTTCGACTGATACTGATCGATTAGAACTAAAAGTCTTTGAATTTCAAATTTCAATTCATCCTCTTCTGACATCAATCAATAGCGGTGAACTAGCTTTTGTTGAAAAACAACGTCCAGCACATCCAAATATTCAGTGGGGTATCCAGATAGTGTTGATCAATATCGTCGACATAAATTATTTGACAAGCCTAGTGAATAATGGCGCTTTTGTATACCCAAAGCGTTTTGGAAATGAAGACACAAATGAATTGAGGGCATGTAGACATTCTTCATGAAGACTATAACACTCTTACAAAATTTAGGCTCACAACGATAGTTTGTTAACGAACTTATCTAATAATAAATAGAAATACATCAATCAAAGTTGATTCTTAAAAATAAATTGTGACTTCGTCAATCTTCTTAGATATTAGAAGTCATGAGGCAATGCCTGCAGATGGCTATTGCCGATCAATAGTTACATTTATCATCGATAATTTCCATCAATCTCATTGTTGATGAAATCCCAGCAAATATCAATTTGTCGGTTCATTGTTGTCTCATTCCTCCAATGAGGGTGAGAATACATTGACATTTATATTTGATATTCTCAGAATGAACCGACAATCCATAAATTGAAGACGTGTTCTTATGTTCATTTCATTGGTTATGTATAATAATATTCACATAACGACCGGGAACAATGCGTCAGGTTAGATAAAAAAGAATATGCACGGAGTGAATAGGTCAAACGACGAACATGACAATGAACCGTAAGCGTGCACATGTTAATACTAGTGTTATTAATGAATATGATTGTTTTGTCTTAGGGACGACGAGCTTCTTGTTGTTATCAAATGAGCTGTTTTACCATCATATTTTCATCTATCTGTGCTCGATCGACATTTTCGAGGCATTTTATGAAACTGGAAATATCCGTCTAGCTTCTCTGGCTCGAATGTACATTAAACATGTTGATTTGGCGAGTGCGTCTATTGTTGCTGCACATGAGTGGATACGTTTCACAGAAGATCGAATTTTATCGCTTCGCATCAGCAGCGATCATCTCGATGATCGCCTTTTCCCAATTCTTTCGAAACTCGCCCGTGTCGATTTGTTGATGACAGCGTCACCAAGCAATGCACCGGATATCACTTATTTGATTACAATGAATAAATTAAAATCATTCTCGATTCGTTTTTCTCCAACCAATCGACCTAAAAGAATTCCAAAACTGGCGTCATTGATCTGGCATTCGGATTGTTCTGTAGAACATTTTTCTACTTGGAATTCATTCGTATTGGTCAAAAAAGATCTGTTTCCAACGTCATCATGCTCTTTGATGATCAATAAACACATCACTCGTCTGTCACTGGACTTAAGTCATCTTGGTCTTGCACTTGCGTTAATGCCATACGTACCTGCCCTTGAACACTTCGAGATTCGTCTATATGATATACGTCTACAATATTCAACGATGACGTCGGAATTTCTACAAGGACGAACGTGGAGCGCGAAAGTCAAATCGTTACATGTGATTGCTTATGATCAACTAGTGAATACAAAAAGCTTTTGCGGGTTTGTGAAGTTGTTCGCTTGCTCGCTTGAGCATTTATCATTCTACATTGGTACACAACAGTGTTATCTCATGCTTGGACGACGTTCATTTGAGCGACATCTTCTCTCTCATTTACCAAGTTTGAAACAGCTTAATTTCTGTGTCTACAGTGGATTGATGAATTCAGACGACGATCGTCGTCAAACATTTGACAGCTGGACAAAAACACAAGTCATTTCAATTTTTCACAGACGTCAAAGTCATACACGATTCACATTACCATTTGTCTTTGATCGGTTAGAACACGTTTGCAATGGTTTTGTCGAGTTTCATTCGAATATTCACTCGATTGATTTTGTTTTGTTACTTCCATCCGTGCGTATCATTTCTTTCGCTTCTTATGGGAGATTGACTCTCGCNGGATCGAAAGCTACCGAGTTGCAAGTAAAGTCCATTGTGATCAAGTTGTCTACAAGATCGTTGGAAATAATGTGAGTTTTGATTCTGTTCTGGGGCAGCTCAGGAGTCCATCTCACACTAAACGATTGTATCGGATTGCCTTCCATCACGAACTTTCCAGTACCCCATTGCGTTTTAATACCTGCTACTATTTCGACGGGCCCGAATCCGACGGCTTCAGCGATATCTTTCATAACTTTAGGGTATTGTCCATAGGTGACATCGATGTCATTGATTCCCTTGAAGTCTTCCGTAAGTGCGTGACGAACGGCTCCTCCAATAAAAAAAAAACATCGCTACGCCATACAGTCTGTACGTAGAAAAAACAGAGAGAAATGTTGTTTTCATTCCTCTCTTATTCGCTGTAAGGCCTTCGATATTTTCTTCCAAAATTTCCACGAGGGGTTCGGAGAGATGTGGAGCGCTGAAGCAGATGCCCTGTCCTTTCCATGGGAGAGCAATTGGAATCCTGTCATCTGGAAATACTTGATCTTTTTCAACCAAAACAACTTCTTCTCCTCTAATCGCCTGTACTTCGTTGTCATCATCATCAGAAACACGATCCACACGTCCAGGAAATACGGCTATCTTTCCATCTTCGTCTTTACCAACGATTCTACCTCTACGCTTCTCGGCTCCTGGCAGTTTATATTCGCATGGATGACCAGGTGACTCATAGAATTCAATGAGGGGATTGCTCAGAATTGGTTCAACCATTTCTATCGCTCCCGCTTTCGCTATAGCTTCAGATGCAGCCATGCTCCAGTCAGTAATATCAGGGTCCTCTAGGACAGCAATTCTCTTTAGATGTACTACCAATTCTGGGTAGATCTGTGCAGCATCGTAGATGCAGAAAACATGTCCACCCATCGCCAACGTAAACGTGGAGTGCGCACCATGAGGAGCATGCCGGAGTTCTTCAGTTCCTACAACGCAGTTCCCGAACACTGCTCTGGCTGCGATAATCTTGCACTGAGTTTTTTCTTCGTCGGTCCAAGTGATTTTGTTCGTCTGCACCGGATATACGATGGCGCTACTTAGATAGATACCTTTTCCGCAAGGACCTCCATTACTTAACATAGGATCAAAATTTCGCTGAAGAATTGCATCCAGATTAGCGATTGAAGTACACCCGTGGAACCCATAAGCTTCGTGAATCTGAATACCTTGATCTGTCATCGCCTTTCGCTTTGCTGCGTAGGATTCCCATAATCGTTCGTTGACGTTTCGTTCGACGCGGACGATCTGAAACTGCTCACTCAAGTGCCGCAGAGATCGATGGATCATCGGACGTAGCTGGTCCAATTCAGGACTTTTAATCACATAGAGAGCGTCGTGTAAATGAAATGACAATGGCATTACCAAAGATGATGCTTGCCTCTCTTTCCATTCCAACACACGGCTCTTCATGTTCTGATTGGGGAGAAATCGCTGTCCAAGAGGTAGATTTGTCATAGGGCTCTTGCCACCATCTCGAAGCCACCGGTGAATAGCCTGTCGTTCGTATGTAAAACCGTCCTCGCACACAACTGGATCTTGAAAGAGCGACAGCGTAATTGGGCACAACAGCTCTTCAGGTGGATCGACATGAGCATCAGAAGGTTGCATTAACGTGGAGAACATTCTTTTTCTAAAAGAAATGTTGAAATAAACATAATATCATACTCTATGACAAATTTATCACCGAATAAAAATAAAGCATGAGACTTTTCATCTTAATATACTAAAGAGATAACGGCGAAAGCGATCTCTTATACTTTATCTTTATTGAATCATATATTTGATGCAAAACAACATAGTATAGAAAACGATGTCATTGTAGTTCTTGATGTCAAATCAACTGGGAATAAATACAGCTGTGTATAAAGATACAAAATCACACCATCGTAAATTACAAAGACATTTTCATTTGGTCTTTTACACAAAATAAAAGTTGCGAAAAAGAAATGCAGAACGTAAAGCGAACAAAGATTAGAAGCATGTGCTACCAAGGAAGAAGAAGAAACAATAGAAAATATTAGTCATTATATTGACACTGAAGTTACGAAAGTCTCTTTTTCTTTGCAATATTTATCATTTGTATGAAAATACACGGGATAGATAATTATATATATATTATTGTTTTATTTACTGAAGTGTGTGAGTTGTCTCCACTCTTCTGTATCATGAACGAACTTCGTCCTTGTGACAGAAAAAAAAAAAGAAAACCGTATATATAGAACTGTTTCGATGATGATTACATTAAAAAGTTATTTTGAAAAAGAAATACGGATAAATTAAAGTAGCCACAATATAGAAAAAAGAAAAGACAAAGTTAGGTATACAGCAGGAAAAAAGAAAAGGATTGAGTGTTGTTACAAGATAGTACATTTAACTAGAGTGAAGGTATCCAGAAAAAAAATACAAGTAGATAGTAAGACGATTCTTTCTATATTCTCGTTGTGTCTAGTGAATACAATGAGTGGAGGAAAATGTATATAAAGCTAATTGCTATATTCAGTTATAAAAAGAAGAGATAGTCAAATAAGCAAGACTTGCAATTGAGTAAATGGAATAGATTGATAATATTGTTAATTGTTCTCCCTTTGTTTACAATTGTTCTTTTTTCTTTTAACCCTTTGGCTCCCGGCGACGTATATATACGTCCAAACATGATTATCGAACAAAGGTGCTTCTAGTATATTGTTTAACTTTTTGGAACATCTTTTTATCTTTTACTAAGTGATGTTAGACAAATGCCATGCATTTTTCTTTTCTCTAGACTTGTTAGTGTTATATATCGATTTCGTATTCGCTTTCTTTTGTTCTGTACGGTGACACGTATTATTTCTTATTCAGTGCATTCCAGTGTAATCACTTTTCTTCCGTTCTTCTTCGTCTAACTGCTCGTCATTTCCGTTCACTTATTCCACAAACATCGCAATCAAAGCAGCCTCAAAGAAAATGCATCGTTTATACATCTCATAACACTTGACGTGATACACGGTATTTCTGCGTTGATTGTGATGCTCCTCTATGCATTGTCGACTGCTTCAGAGATTATCATACAAAAATGAACTCTTAAGGGATTTTTCATACAAGAATAGTGTATCTTCCTAAAGAAATAAACATATCTTGAAAGATTTCTTGTAACAAAAATTCCGATTCTCTTTATAAAAAAAACCCGGGAGCCAAAGGGTTAAAGGAACAATTGATAGTTCTAGATTTTCAACGTTTCAAAATTGATCAACAATTTCTTTGTACGATTCTCTGTATCCATGTTTCGGATCCGACACCGTCGGAATCCAATGCGATTTCGTCACCAGGATTTTATCGGATCCGTCGAATTCCTGTAGGATCTGATAAAATTCTATATTGGATCCGATGGGATCCGCGTATGGGATTGTTCGACCTAGGATTTCGTTGAAATAGAATTTCATAAGAAGAAAGTCATTTTCCATTTTGGTTTCTAGATATCAATTTTACCGTCACTTCTAAGAAATTTCTTCGTTTTTGACAGAATCAAGAAAATGTCTGATCAACCTCCAACGAGATTATTCAAACTTGTTTGCAAACGGGCCGCAATGATGCGTCAACTCTATCGTAGTTCATCGTGGACAAAAAAACAGAATCGAACATGAATAGGAAAAAAACAAAAATCGCAAGGAAACAGTAGAATTGAAAAAGCTGTTCGGCAAACATTATCATCGATAAAAAAAGGCATGTATGCGGCCAATGCACGTAATTCTGTATATTTGAAATTAATGCTGTTTAAATAGAATGTATCTTGAAAAAATGTCGCCATTCGAATAGCATGGACAACATGGTTTTTTACTGGACCAATTTAAATTGTATTTCAGTGAAAGCTTTGATGTTTCTTTTTGAATGCTTGCCGTACCATTTCATGTAACCAAAACAATATATTGAGGATTTGTTTTATTCGATATATTCGTGTTTTCTTAATCACTGCGAATGTATGCATGCTAATGACAGTTGTTCTCATCCTCTCAATATTGGCTACTGTTTGAAAGAGAATTTAACCACTACTGTCCACGAATTTATAATAAACAAATGTTTGACGTTACTAGATTAGTACATCACAAAAGAAACGTTATATCCAATAGTCGTCAAAATCTTACAACAGATCGAATACATGGAATATTAGTAGCTTCTCATTTTTCCAAGTTCAACTCATTCATTATGTACACAACAAAGACAATTTGTTCACCAATCAGCACTATGATATGCCCTCTACCACGCAGTGCTTTTGTATATTTTAATCAGCACATTACTGTAGCGAGAATGTGCCTTATATCAATGCTTGATCAACGAACTGAAAGAACACGATCTACTGGAACTTGTGTTAAAACGAATCATTAGAAAATCGATGATATACCATTATTAACGGAAATTTCTTTGTTAATGTCAAGATACGCCCGACTGCAACAGAAAACAATTTTTAAAGAGACGTTTTTCCACTAAGAGAATGATATCCCAAACAAAGAAACCATTCTTTGCTTTTCTCTTATATCGAAAATAAGAGTTCGCGTGAGATTAACAAATTTTTTTCAAATCCCTCTTCTCTTTGGAGAATAATCGAAAGTGTTCATATGATTTGATTTCAAGTGCTCAAACAAGGATCAACAATCTATCGAAAATTCGTAAACGAAGCAGAAACTCCTCACAATCTCGACGAAGACGAATACAAATCGATTTGCACTTTCTTTCATATCAAGAGTTTGCAAAGAGAACCAATTCGTTTCATATTTGAATTCGATTTTCGAATCATCTGTATATTAGAACAATCTCTAGTCAAGAAAATCGTTTCAACGACAAAAGACTTATCGACGATTCCATTGTTCTAAACAATACTGAATAAATTATTAGATTGTTGATCTCAACAAAATTTCAATGATTAGAATCAGATGAAGATCCATCGTTTGAAAACATACAAATATTCATTGCTGAATGTGAACTCTCACAATTTCACGGCACAGTTAATAATAGAATATATCAAATATCGTTCATTCTTCCAATATTTAAAGAGAAAATTTTTTCAAAGAGATCTTAAAAGAAATTGTAACATATTTTCATCTGTTTTGAACGCTCAGCTCTCAAAAATTATAGATTAAAATCATTTATGGCTTCGTTATTTGATCATCTTTTCTTGGCAATAAACTAACATCTGGAAGAAAAATTAATTTAAAGATGACAAAGTTCACTTATTCACAGTGTTCTTCACTCATAAGTTGTGTTTAATCTTTCTTGTGCTACATAGAACAGGTATGTCAGGTAGATTATCTTCATAATTCAAATGAGTACTGATTAAATAAACACCAAAACTATTTCCTCGCAAATTCAGGTTATTCATATAATTAGTCAAATCTTTCTTCCAAATCAACATGGAATTCAGACGGGGCGACAATTGTCAATCAGACTCTCATTGGCTCAAGTCTATTTGATCTGTTTATCAATCAGAATAATATTCAATTTATATGCTGCCTCGAGACATTTTCGTTTTTCTTCAGAGAAATTCGAGTTTATTTGTAACAAAAGAATAAAAGATGTATGAAGACATATATTGTTCATCGTTGACCAGCATTGTAAGTGAAATCGCAGCGAATTCGATAGATTTTAGTTCAATTCTACGATTGAATCTATGTGAACAATGAGTTGATATTTTCATCAGTGAAAATCAAACTCTCTATTGTTCATTATCTGAACGACATCAAGTAATTTCGAAATCATTAATCAATCACTGGATTCATTTGATCATTGCTGGAGAATCAATATCAGCATTTCGAAATCTTAGAGAAGTCTTTATTGGTAAAACCAAGTCGATATGATTTGTTGCGGATTGTGGAAACAATCGAACTTAATCATGTCAACTAGATTCATTTCTTGGAAGAACAATTTCAACAATCAAACATTTGATCTGAACTGTCACAATAGAACTGCATTGGATAGGCAAGGTTATTGATTCTGTGTGTTGATTGGAATAATTATCGGATTATTGTACAAAATTTCAATGGTTTTCATTGTTTAGTTGATTATAATCAATCTACTACAGCTAATGCAAATCAATTAAATTATTCATCGAGCCTAAGTTTTCACTCGTTTAGAAATTGTTGCGTTGGTGATCAACGAGATCATCCAAATCAAAAAATCGGTTTGAATGATAATTTACAGATAGTTTCGGTAATTATCCAATGAACGAAACATTTCCGATGATTTATGTACCTACATAGAATGGCTCAGCTGCTAAGTTGACATACGATCATTGCAAATCTCTTTCGACTAAGAAAACATATTTCATTTGATAATCGTTCATTTACAATTAATTTGTGGTTTTCCGTCGTTGATCTAACAAATTTTTATGAACTTTTCTATGGTGGAGTTCTCCTTGCTGGAAAATACGAAACATCAGCAAAAGATCCATGTTTTTCTCCATGTTCGTCCCAAACTTCTTTGCATATATGACTCTTTAATCATGGTATATTTACCACTACAAACTTATCGATAAATCCATGGTATCATGCAACATTTCTATACGATTCAAAAGTTAAACAACAATGAATTGATTCATTCAAATGGTTTATTAGATGGGAATAGAACTGCGAATAATTTTTTTACTGTAATTGCATGGTTATTCATGGCTGGTAGTGAACCATTTGGTGCCAGAGTTGACCCAAATAAGCAGAAATCGTACGCATTATAGCTCTTCAACGTAATCCAATGAGTATACAGAGGAATTAAGGTACTAGCCGTGCACACGAAGAATTAGGAACTCCGTCAAAACGTTTTGAATTGCGAAAGTAGTAAAAGACAGTATTCTTAGAGGTTGTGAAGTTTTTCATTTTGGGAACATCTTATGCACAATGCAGGTCTCGTTCATTCACAAAGGTTTCGTTTAATTTAGCACTTCCTCGCTGTTCCTCTTCTTCTGCTTCTTGTTTATTCATCCATCTTAAAATGGTTTGAAAGCTTTTTTTTTACTATGGGGTTTTATAGTTAAATTGAGGCTGAAATAAACGTTTTTCTATCATTTTGTATGGTTGAAAAATAAACTTGTTGAAAATTCCCAAAGATTGGAAACAAGACTATGGTTACCGAAAATAAGCTCTGAGCGCGTATGGTTTGCTAGTAAAATTAAGACGGTAACGAGTCGCAAAACCGATCAATGTCATTTTATATGATTTTGCAGAATGA